CTATCAAAATTCTTGGTGAAGCTGACTCAGACGACAAAAGTCTTGGCCAAGGGCTTGAAAACAAGCGGTCTGCATGAAAGGCTTATGAAGAAAGTTCTTACCGGCCCTGGCGACAACCTTGTCACAGAAAGTCCCGGCTGCGAGAACATGAATATCGATTGACACAACACAGCCACATCTCCTTCCTCCAAGGCAATACCTGCAGAACTTAGTGCGTCAGCAGCCCAGTAGTCTGTGTATCCTGGTTTTTCGGAGCAGGGCTCGGCTTACTCCCACCATATGCATGGGATAGAAACGTTTAGCAACTGTTGCCGGAAGAATAAGATACTCATAGCAGCAGGGAGGAATCTGCCGATCCGATCTGACAAGATGTTCTGGATCATGTAAGGGCTTAATGTTGCCTTCCAGCCAGCAGTCATGTGGCTGGACGCCTCTCACATGCAGATGCTGGCAGCAAGCAAGCCAACAGCTAAATTTGGACTCCTGGGCATTGCGCGCAAATGCACGGGATGTCAAAGTTCAGCTTGAGGTTACTGTTGCTTGTATGGAGGTGTGTTTCTCTATCACAGGTCTGGTCAGTCCACGGGCTTCAGAAGCTTTTGCCATGTTGAGTTTCTTGGCCAGATGCTCCAGCTGACCAAAGCGACAAAAGACGATGCTGGACAGCCGATGTGTCTGAGCTGCAGCCCTGACGACATGTCCGTCGTCATTTGCAGCCACCCATCAACTTAGCACATTTTTCTGGATGTTTGAGAAAAGTTCTTTGAGTTGGAATGGCCGTACCGTATTCACATAAGGTTGGCTTTGTGATTTCATTTTTTAGCCTAGGCATGGCTAGAACGGTGCTCACTACGCTACTTCGCGCATTGAAGAACGATAGCAGCCAGTTCGAAACAGATAGACTGTGGCGGTCAGACGATATGAGTTATAAGGTTCGGCACATTCTTGTGAAGGGACGCTTGCGAAGCAAATGCGTTCCATTATACGCTGCGTATGGCAGTTGCCAAGCAACTGGTCACCAGAATGCTGCGATCTTTTTGTGGTGCCATTGAACGTTTCATGCTTTTTGTTGATTTTGCAATTCTCCAACAGTTCTGGGGAAAGCCCGGCGCAGGAGGCTTGCAGCGAGGCAGTTTCATGGGTTGTTGTAACCCGGGCCATTGTGGAACAAAACCTGGCATATATGATCAGTGGGCGATGGGTCTAAATTCACGTAAAAGTAAAGAAGACAGGAATCGCGCAACCCCCCCCCAACCGATAGATTTCTTTCAGTCTACGCAAAACCCATCAAAAAGCGATAGGACCCCCACGTTGTCCATGGCATCGGGTGATACAAGGAGTGTCGTCGTAATTGTATTTATTCATTTGTTTTCTTTGTGGCTAATTAGAGCTGAAGAATTGCAGTTTTCCTTCCTTTGCATCCATAGGCTTAATGCAACCAGCAAATTGGCTATGAGAACCGCCCAAGTTTTTGTAGTTAACCCTAAGCCCTAAGCTCTAAATAGTAGTTTCCAGTTTCCTTTCCATCATCCTAAACCCTAAGCTCTAAATAGTAGTTTCCATTTTCTTTTCCATTATCCTAAACCCTGAACTCTAAATAGTAGTTTCCATTTTCTTTTCCATTATCCTAAACCCTAAACCCTAAGTCCATGTAGTTGAAGCTTTCCAGCAATGTCCCAGTGATGCGAGGCGATTAGGAAGCTCTCAGAGGGGGTCCCCATAATGAGGATATAAAAATTAGGGGTACCATTTTGGGGGTCCCCATAGTGAGGATTATAGTACTTTGGGGTCTATATTAGGGTCCCTTTATTTTGGGACACTGTCACATGCAGTTTTCATGACGGAGGATTATGAGGAGGAGGACGACCATTACTGTTGCTACTACCCTGCTATTGCTACTGCTGCTACTGCTTTTTCCACTTCTGCTGCTACTGCTGCTACTATTACGACGACAATGACGGCCGTGGCTACCACCCATGCGGGTCGTACCCCTTCTTCAGCGCCTTGATCGTGTGATCCTTTTGGCCAAGCTCAAGCTGAGGCTTGATCACTCAGAGGACGGCTAGCCCTCTGCTTATGCAACTCCGCAGAGCTGTGTCCTGCCAGCAACTTCCATTACTTCCCCGTGTGACTCATCACCCTCCCTTGGGTGTGCTTGCATTTACGTTGCGCCTAACCCCCGCCAGCGCGGCGAGAGATGGGTTGGCTGCATTCGCAGCATTGTGAGAGCTACTTCCATCGGTCCATGGCCAGTGCCACTACCTCTACCAGTACCACTAATACCAGTACGACCGCCACACGGCGGCGATTGCTGCCGCCACGCCACCCGTCGCCATTGCCACCGAGAACAGCCACGACGGCTAATACAACAGCTGCTACTATTCTGCTTACTTTCGTGAGGAGCTTTGACGGTTGTGGCATCAATCTGAAGATAAGGTTTCAATTAGCCGGAAGGACGGCTGACGCAACTTCTCGGCCCAGGTTCCGCCTTCAGGATTCAGAGACTCTTCGCTGCTGCAGCCCTGGTCATTGGACTCCATGGTGGTACGATTAGGTCAAGCCGCCACGTTTACACCCGCTTACAGCGGTTTGCAAACACAAGGGTGTGTGGTATTCAGATGGTCTGATTTGCGTCGCTTGAGGCCCGGGCTGGTGTATGGCTTACTTGATATGGATTGGGCCTGGGGCTTTAGGCTCTCAGCTATATCCAAGATCGAAGCCTTTGTAGCGACATGACTTGCGCAGGTGGCCCGGGCTAAAGGGCCTAAACAGACTACCAAGAATACTTCAAATGCATTAGATCATCAGCGCAACTGCCTAGAACCGGACAGGGGTTGTTGCTCCCGTCTCCTTCGCCAGGTACTCTCAAAGCTCCGGGTGACGAGGACAGCCCAGCCAAAGCCTCAGATTTCGTCGGCAGTTGAGAGTATGCACTTTGGATCAGCTGCCTTTCATTTGGTCTAGATGGTGTCCCTGTGCAGCCACCCTCCAATTACCCCATCTCAACCCTCAACCCTATACCGTTGTAGTTTCCATTGTCTCTCCCATTATTCCTGTATACCCCTATATAATCCCTTTATACCCCTCATGGGGCACTTTTGGTGTCTGAGGCTCGCTCTGAAAGTATGAGATCAAGGCACCAAGTGCAATGGCACGATAGCTAGCAGGGTAAGGAGGACACTGCGTTACCTTGGATACCTTGAGGCTGGACGATGAGTCGCTAAACTTTTGGGGGGTGGCCGTGGCCTTAGATATATGGGAACGCGCACTTGTACCGGAGCCTTGAAACCCTTTGCTTCTTGCGGCCCCAAGGAAGCCATTTCTGTGCTGGAGACACGTTATGGACACGGCTATGTAGTTTTTGGAAGCGACTAAGTCGAGTTGCTTCTAAGTTCCTAAATAGCTAGGGCCAGCCGCCTGCCACTGTTGGCTTTTTGGAAAGCCCGGCGTGTGGATGTACAGCTGCGACGCATTCCTTGAAGGAATCTGCGCTTACGCACTGTGCCCCCAAACCCTTGGATCAATGCCTAGCCTCCTAATTTTCCACATGGCCAAGCTCCGGCGCCAAGGTCTCGATACGTAGAGCATCAGCATTCACTTGCAGCCGTGCGAGCTGAAAGCTGCCATGTTAGGTCAGGTAATGGGAGGCAGACCTTCAGGCGCCAAAGGCGATGCGCAAAACCTCCTTTCATGTCAGCTGAGAGCTTTTGAAGTGAATGCACCACGACTACCGCCCACGCGCCATCAATGCTCGCAGATGTTGGTGCTGTGCCGCCAGCATGATTGCCAGATACTGTTCTACATCACCGCATTGCCTTTCCTGTTTTGGGTGTGAAGCTAAGCATTCTGTTGCTTTTCTCGGCTATGTGCAAGCGCCTGCCTTAAGGGAAGCGTGCATGGGGTCCATCCCCAACTGCATTGCCATAAGATGCTGCTTCAGGTAGCTTGCAATTAAAGATCCCAGCTGAGGCTGGAGAACTGCAGTGCCGACCTCAGGTCTCTGGGTTCATGGACGAGGGGACCGGCCTTAGAGAACAAATCAATGAAATGAGGCTGGCACGGCAGTTGACATCGCCATGGACCGAGCAAGGGGGAGCCTACTCAGAAGTTCAAGCTTCTTTCCCAGATGCAAGGTTTATGGCGACCTGTATCTATGCTCCAGCCTATGCTTGTTTGCACATTTTGCACGGAAGACGGTGCTGCGTGGCTCTTGATGCAATGATGCTTTTTCGTTTGTGGTCAGTAATGCTACAGGTGGGGAATGCGGTCAAAGATGCTGTAAGTGCACCACGGCCCGACTGCCCGGCTGCCTCGATGTGCACAAGCTCGTACACATGCCTTGGAGGAATTAGCTAGCGAAACTTGCAGCCCTGCTACACAGCTTGCCTGCGTCTCCCAGGCCTGACTGGAACAAAGGCGTTCGCCTTGTCAGCATCTACCTCAGTTTGGGATCCGCAAGAAGGAGGATGCAAGGGAGACCATGGAGACCGGAGGTGATGGCGCTAGTGACGGCTCGTCCAGTCTCTCAGTTGCTTTGTATCTTCCCAGACGTTGCTAAGCGCTGCGTAATGCAGGTCGACGGACGACATGGAGTATGGTTTGCCAAGCAGGGCGCCATGGAGCAGCCGCAGCTCGCATACGCGGAATGCCAGTATGCTTTGAGTTTAGGCACGCATACGATCAACACGGTCTGTATGTCACCAGCTCAGGCAACAAGTAATGGGCCATTGCCTCCCGGGAAAGCTGTAAATTCCTGTGAGGTGGCTTTACATTTTCTATTTCTACGCCAGCTCAACGAGTTTGCTCCCGAGATTGGGGTCCACTGGGTGAAAGCTTTGCTGGGCCAAGCTGCCTGAATCGGAGGTTACGGAGACGGTTTTTCAGTGTACTGGCACGTGCTGAGGCCAAACAAAGCAGCATAAAGTTGGCAGTGGCAGTGTGAAAATGGCATGTCAGGTCGCCGTTGCTGCAGATGAGCCTTGCTTTTGCAGTTAGTAGACATGAGCTCGCACCAATATGTGGATTTTCTTCAATTTTTGAGGATGCTGGTGGTGATCCTGGCCTGGTGCGCATTCATAATGCTGGCCGCTAAGACAATTTACCAATCACGACGGTGCTTGCGCTTGTTCAAGCCACCTGGGAAGGGGGGGGGGGGGGGGGGGCGGCCAAAAAATGCATCAGCCTTGTGGCCACCAAGGTATGGGCGACTGTATTTGGGGATGCATTCGCCCATTGATGTGGCCAGGGCCTAAAGACTCATGAACAACCTGGCAAATGCTGTGTTCGAACCGTATCAGGTGGTTGGCTTCAGCATTTCAATGATTTTGCGCGTATCCCAGAACCCACGACAGCATTTGCAAATGTTGTTTCACTTGTACTACATCAGGCTTCATTTGTATGCTGCAGATCCGAACTCAGTGCAACGCAGTATTAAAAGACATGTGAAATCAATGCCTTTGAACGGAGGTGGATGATTTTGTAGATGCTTGGATGACAGCAACTACTGCTTTCGCCGCCGCCCTTCACATCAAGTCGGACAAGAAACACCGTTCAACGCAAACTACTACAGGTGCCAGCCTATCAACTAGCCTTCGCAGTGGTTCTTTGCTGGACTCTTACCATATCGAGCGCAGTGTATATAGTATATATGACTTTTGTTACGTAACTTTCCGTCAAGTCTGCAATCTACAAATAGCGAGGTTGGACGTATCCTGCAGGACTGCAGCACCGTCCTTGGATACGTGAAGCAATGTTTATGGTGCAACATTGATGCTCCCATCATGCAACCCAAGCTATGAATCCAGGCGAACTCCTTCTTACAACTATGCAGTTTACTTCACTGGTGTTTGTGGTTGCCTCAGACGCTTAAAGAGCAAAGTCTGAAATGTCTGAAGTCTGAAGCACGAAGCTGTGAATTGACGCCTGCTGCAGGTTTGGGAGTTGTCACTGGTGTGCGCAACCCTTAGCATTGGCAGCTTCACCTGAACCCCTGAAAATCTTCGGCATCAATGCTGCAAAAATCAGGTACGCGATTCGAATTCGTTTATTTGATTGCATTGTACATGTCTTATGTCGTGTGAGCTTCGTGAAGCAACCCCACAAGTGACAGATTCAGGTGGCGTTGTCCACACCATCATAGCGAGCAGCTCTTAGCTGTTATGTTGAAGTTCTGTTGTACAATATATTTTAATGTAATATAATACACTATAATATACTATAATATTCTATAATATGCTATAATATGCTATGATATACTATAATATACCTTAGCTGTTATGTTGAAGTACTCTTGTTGGTTGCCTGTATGACCTCGGCCTTTCAGGTTGATTGAAGTTTCATGTTTGGGCTCAGCGTTCAGTGCATATTATAGTATATCATAGCATATTATAGCATATTATAGTATATTATAGTGTAGTATAGTATATTAAATCGACTGCAAGGTGGCAGCGGCGGAAGCTATAAAGGCTGTCGGGGGCTCAACGTGTTCCATCGAGCTTTTGATTTCACGAGCCTTGTTGCGGAATGCTGCCTGGGTTGATGTGATATGTGCAGGCCCGCGGCCCATTGGCAAGCTCCAGCTTCGTGCTTTTCGTAGGACCATGGATAGTCAACGCGCACACTGCGTGATCAGAAAGTTCATAACAACTGCATTAAGTTGACTCGAGAGGACGGCGCTTTGTGGTGGGACTTGTGCTCGTGCTCATTTTGCGCGCGGTCAGCAAGGAGGTGCTGAAGTCCGGGCCGGAAGTCAATTGATAGCTCACCGCATTTTGCTTCGATTATATGTCAGCATACTGAAACGAGGCTACTTGTTCCTCGTGTCTTCTACGTCTTTGGAGTACCATGCTCGGATCACGAGTCACCCTGCCGCCGTTTCACTTGGAATGCTGTCAGTCATTGCAGACCCGAAGTGCCAAAACTTTCGTGCTCTGTAGTCTTGGTGACTTGTTTGGGAGCTTTGGTGCCAGGTGCAAACAAGATTCCGCGCAAACAACTCGTGTGGGTTACAACGCAGCGGCCTCAAGTTCTGCAACTGACATGCAAATGCGCTTAGAGCTGCAGCCAAAGTGTGTGCATTCACGTATTTTTCTGTGATAAAACAAGCCTGGCGTGGCTTCAATGTAGCCTTGCCTATGAATGCCAGGTGCTGGCATCTACAGACATTGGCCCATGTCAAGCAAGGTCCTTACCCCGACACGTCTTCTGAACTACGCCGTGGTGGGCTGGACCGTTGCAGGGGCCCAACGTTTCGACATTGTTCGACATTCAGTATGCAGTATGCGTACACAATGCACTCGTAGAAAAATGTGGCTGCGTATTCATGTAAATTTCATTTGGAAAGAAACATGGTACCACACTCATACCAACAATAATAACAACAATGATTCAACTGGCTTGAATCTGCTTGAGCTCAGGTGGAACCCTGCTTCGACTTGTTCCAGTGGCTCGAAATATGAGCCCCTGCAACATGCTGCCAAACAGAGTTTGCATATGCCTTTCCATGCCGTGCTATTAAACCCTACATTATGGCAAGAACAATATTAAGCATTGCCATACCAATCCGCAAAAATTGTACTACAATGACAGCAACAACAGTGATGGTGCAAGCTGGGCTTGGCAGTAGGCCGTATGCAGGGATTACAGAATGATATAGGGTGTAGAGGTTAGGATGACTCGAATGGAACATGAGATGGACCTTGCACAGGGATAGCTGCGGAAAGTTTCACACGATCGGTTCAAAAAGCGATTGGATGCTCAGGATCATACTTGCTTTGCCTCTCCCATGCTGCCCCTGCGCCCACCTTTGTTACATGTGCCGCGCAGTATCGAAACATAATCATTTGACAACAGATGCAGGAATGCGACACAATGTGAGGCTTGCCCTTACCCACGTGGTTTGGTTGTGAGTTTAGCAATACTTTAACAAACGCTCTTTGAATTCCGTTTGAACAAATAAGTGGTGTGCGACAATTCGTGCGTAGACCAAGATTCGATGTTAGGTTCCCACCGAACTTCCAGTATTGTAACAAGGGGCATGCAAATGGGTATGATCAGCCGCCCATGGCCTGGAGTTGAGTTGAGCCCGGGTGAGTAGGCAGCTGTTGCCTTGCTGTGTTTACCCCTGGCGTAAGTAAGTATGTCGGCACAGGCGGAGAGATGTGTCCATTGGCTGACAGAGACGGCCGTGCAGCAGAGGCGCGATGTATGCGCGCACTCCTGAAAGTCCTGGACACTTCATGTTTGAACAAGGCAGCTGAGCTCGAGGGAAAACTGAATGCAGTTTAAGAAGACTAGGAGGGCACGCAAGTACTCTTGCTGCTTGCGAGGGTATGCTTCAGTCTATTGTCGGCGCCCAAGCTTTCTGACGCAGCTGGCTATTTTGTTGCAATGCCAGCTATGTCATTTTGATTCCAGCTGCTACAATGAAGTGCCCAGGCTGATTTATTGCTTAACGTCTCTGCCTTGGCTGCCCAAGCTTGTGTCACGTTGTTTTGAGCTGCTACAGGAAAGAATTCAATGGCTGGTTTCGCCCAAATGTTGGACCTTTCGGAATCACTTCATTTCCCAGCCCCTTTGCATGGAGGATGCTCAGAAAGTGCAACTCTTTTGACTTGAAAATCAGGTTCTTAGCTATTTGCGTGCTGCCTCGTCCATAGCTCAGACCCGATTTGTTTGCATGTGGGGCTTCTCCAAATTTGGGTCCCCCACATACCACCAAAATATCCGGGTCATAGTCATTGGGCTTTAAAAGCAGGACCCATAATTTTGAGAAGATATCGGACATGAATAACAGATCTTCAGTTTGCAGGTTCTCGCAAGTGTTCCATTCTTTTATTCTGGTGCAGGCTGAGTCAGCTGCTTTTCTCCTCGCATGAGGTGCGATGAATGCATGTCCTGATGCTCCAAGGGCTGCCATACCGTCCCAACTTGACAATCGATGATATTGCGCGCGTGCTGCGCTGGTAGGCTGAGCTGTGGGTGCGGATGTACCTGCCGGCATGGGTCCCGGTGTTTCAAGTTGAGTATTGAGCAGCCAGTCGGTTTGGAGCTGCCACCCAAGTATGACAGATAACGTGAATTATCAATCACTCAAAGCACTTCAGGCGCTTGTTGACAAGCGTGGATGGGGCAATGCCGATCTGAGTGTCCAGAGCCTATACAGCTATACATCGTTGATCCTCCTCGGCTATTCGCACAAACTACCGTGGGCAAAGGCAAACCCGCTGTCAACCCTTCATTTGCCGGAGCCTTACAGCACTTTGTTTCTTTCAGCTCCCCGAATCATTGTCTGATGGTTTGCCATGGGCATGCATGATGTTACCCTAGAATCTCTATATATCCCCTATATAATCCCTCTAGTCCCTATAGTTTCCGTTTTCTTTTCCACTATCCCCAAATAACCCCAGTTTCTCGAAGGTAGAGTCGCGTTGTCCAGCTTCAGGTCAGAGATGTGGGACCTATTAGCAAATGTTTGCTCTCCTATAGGCGGGCGAGTGATCAAGTGCGCACGGTCAGTCCAAAATGTTTAGGCTTTTGGCCCTAAACCCTAAACCCTGGTCCGTAACTTGCGTGGTTGGGTTGAATCTCACATCGAATTTGCAGTCAAAGTAATGCGATGATGCAGGTGTGAACTTCATGCTGCTACGTCACACACTTTACGGCCTGGGCCTTGGCAGGTAGGTATTCACAGATGGCAGTTTCCCAAAACAAGGGGGATCCCAACATAGATCCCAAACTAATCCCTTGCCCCTAGTATTAACCGACGTCCCCCCTCCCCCCTCACCCCCGATTATTAAATTCAATAATCCACGACCGAAAAATGTATTAGATACTACGTGGCGCTTTAATGAAAGCATTCGATAGGGCTGTTTCGAAAAGCCCTTTTATCACCATCTTAAAGCGCGTTTTAAACACCCCTCAATTGAAGTCCCATGAGAAACGAATGGAAATCCACTTGAAGAATTACGTGAAAGCCAATTCGAATCCAAATAGAATCAAAACCAAGCAAGTGGAATCTAAATAAAGTCCAATTAGAACCAATTGTAATCGAACTTGTTAAAATCAATTGAAATCTGATTGAAATTCCATTTTAAAATCCCGTGAAATCGAATTCAAAGCCAATTCAAATCAATTGCAATCGAAATAAGACCCAACGAAAACCCATTGAAATCGAGTTTAAATCCGTGTAGAATCAATTGAAATCAAATTAAACATCCATTTAATATCAACTGAAGTCAAATTGAACTCCAATCAAAACCAATTGAAATTGAATTATGCTCCTGTTAAAATCCAGTGAAATCAAACTTAAATCCAATAAAAGCGGGTGGAATCCGAATTGAATCCAATTAACGCCTAGTTGAAGCCCAATTAGAATGGAATTTACTACGGCTAAAATGGTAACAGAATCAACTAAATTCGCATTCAACTTTTCATATGATTTCCTTGTACCTCCCCCTAATGACCTCAAAACCCTCCCAATTCATTATTAGGTGGCCCCTTTTAAATGTAGTTTTCCCCTGTTAAATAAAAGTCATCTTCAGGATTTTTAGGCCCCTGAATCTATCATTTAATATTACTCTGTGTTCTCCCCTTAGGGGGAAGGGATGACTGTAGTCCTTATTAAGGGACTCCTAAGAAGGTACCCCGAATTTTGGGAAACCCCCAGATGGCGCGTAGTTAGACCCCCTGAACCCTAAACCGTAACCCTTGACGTTGCGAGGTACTATGTTGGAGCTGCAGCTGTCACCAGGCCCACATGAGCCATAATCCAAACTACTTAAATGAGAGTTATTTAGGGTTTAGGATTTAGGGATTGTATAGGGAGTACAATAGGGCTTATTAAGGGGGATACTAGGAGTTTAGACTATAGCTCACATCAGGAAAGCACAGTGTATGGTTTCGGATTGCAAGGAGAGGTCCATGTCTTCACGACATTTGGTAGTTTCGCGAAATAGCGGGACCCCAATAATACAGACCCCAAAATCCTAGAATCCTTATCATGGGGACTTCCAAAATGTACCCTAAATTGGCAACCCTAAGCCCAAAACCTTACATATATATATATATGTATATGTATATCCCTACATAGCCCCCATATTATGATAGCCCCTATGTCGCCTGTGAAATTTCGGGAACCCCCATTTTTGACTACCTCCAGGGCACAGATTTTTGGCCCGAAACCCCAAACCCTAAACCAAGCGCCTGGAGAGGCTCAACATTGGCTCACTTCAATTTTCGAGCCAGTGATGAGGCCACATGAGCTACGTAGTCTAAACTCCTTAAAGGGGGAGTTATATAGGGGATTATGTAGGGTTTAGTGATACGCGGAATACTAGGAGTTTAGACTATAACTCAGATGGATATCATCAATGTTTCAAAGCGTTCATTTAACTCACACTGCCAGGCAGCTCCTATGTGGTGCCGTGGTAGCTTCGCAGTTCGAGGCGTCAGAGCCTCAGAAGCTTCATGTGTCCCTATAGTGTCCCTGAGAAGCAGCACTCTTGTTTTATTCTCCCATTCCCTAGTGAGTAAGCAGGAATAAGGCCTCGCATGTTGCGCGCAACAAGCAGCAAGGATTAGCAGGTGCAAATCATGATATGGTAGTTTCCCGAAATAAGGGAACCCCAATACAGACCCCAAAATACTACAGTCCTTATTATTGGGACCCCCAAAATGGTACCACTAATTTTGGGAAACCCTAATCCCTATAATCCCCTATATAAACACAGTTTCCATTTCATTTTCCAAATTCTTTTCCATTTGATTCTCCATTATTGGGGGTAATTTTGGGAAACCCCCATATGCATTTCTATCGCAGCAGCTCCAGGTTACGAGCCCTTTGTGTGCATCGTGCTGTATCAAGTCAACTTGTAACCTTCCAAAAGCACGAACAGCCCTTGAAATGATCGAAGCCCGTTTTACAGTGGAGGCTGGCATGTTTTAGTGAGTTGTTGCGAGAAAATCAGGCAATAGAATCAATAGACTGGACCTGTGCAGCCGCAGCATGCAGCCTTAAGGCTTTGCAGTGTGGCAAGTGGACAGATGAGCTGCGGCAGCGCCCTCGCAGAACTCCCATCACACAGGCTCAACGCATGATCGCCATGGCAATGTGCTCGCCTACGTATCCCTATACAACTTCTAAACCCGATATCGCTACATATACCTGTATATCCCTATGCCGCCCCTTTTACGGAGCCGTGTTTGCTGGTGCAGGCCTCGCTAGCTCAGCAAAGCTCGTATCGAGTGGAGCACTGTGGAGACAGGTCGGGCAACATGTTTCTGCCAAAGCGCTGGATCCCTTGACCTCGTTTAAACCCCCCCAAATATTTTTGGGAGGAGCCGTCTCCCCATACTACTGACAGGTTTGTTCTCCGGCCTGCATGCAAGCGCTGGACAGAGGCACGCGGGGTTGCGGTGGTGCAGAGAGAAGTAATGACATGCACCTTTGTGGCCATTTGAACTCACTCGATGGATGGCTCCCCATCCTTTTTGGGTTACCTTCCCAGAAGACGAGCATCCAGCGCATTTGATAATCGCTGGTTTGGCAGCTTCACGCAGGCCCGCCCACAGCTACAGCTCACCAAGCGAGGTTTCATTGTGGCCACCCCAAAGGGCGAAGCAAAGCATCACATCATTTGATTCGTCGTCCCTGCCAAGGCCATCGCCGCGGAAGGTGGTGGCATTATCGTTGAGGCAGCCCTTTTTACCATGGCAAAAGCTACTGCCAAAGAAAGGGGGCACTTGCGGTCCAGGATGGGCAACCTGCGCGCCGGGTTGAAGCTGATGAGCTGTCCTCAGTTTGACTTCGCGGGCCTTGAGAGCATAGGAGCCTGGTGTATGGAATGCCCTATGGAATCCTCCATGAGGAGCCCCATGCCATAATTTTTGTCGTAGATGACCCACATCCGTAGGATCGCTTACAGGCAGCCCCGCATGGAAGAAAACCATACGTTAGCACTGACTTCCTCAGCTGTGCCAGGCCCCGGAAGCTCCTTGCTGAGCTGCGGCCTGGTTGCAGGCATCCATCGTGATCCATCGCAGTCATGCGTTACAGTCATATAAGTGCACGCAGCTCTGTCCCGGTAAGCTTGCGTTGCTTCAATGGTCCGATTAAGCCCTGCACACCCAAGCCTAGATTTGACGTGTTTTGTGCTGTGCGCCGCCAGGCCAGGCTGCGCTCGGTACCAGCAATCATCGGTTACCATCCGTTGCCACCTGTACAGTTCTGGACCTGTGCCTCCTAACTGTCATTCTGGTTGGTTGAGCCTTAGTTAGCTTAGAGTTCTTGATGGAACGAAGCTTGTTGTAAGTCAGAACATCAAGTGATGTCCGACAGTTTTGCGGATGGCCCAGAATTTTGCACACCATCCTTGGCTTACGGCAACTCCAAGATGTCGCAGCCTGTTCTGTGTTGAACGGCAGAGCGTCTGCGCGAAACCGCCAGTAAACTAGGTAAAACAAAATATAGAACCCGAGTTATGGCCAGGTTATATCCCAGAGACTCTTATGATAATCATTATGGGCAACGCTAGTGTTTCGTAGTATGCCGCCTTAGGTATTGAAAGATGGCACCATCCTAGGCAGCTCCAAAACAAGCAAGCAATTAGGGTTTAGTGTTTGGGGTTTAGGGCTACTATATGGGTCTTTCCCAAAATTAGGGGTACCATTTTAGGGGTCCCCATCATAAGGATTATAGTATTTTGGGGTCTATATTGGGGTCCCTTATTTGGGGAAATTACCATATAATGAGGAAACCGTGTAAAATTATTTGCTATATACCCATAACATGGTAACCAGGCAAGTTTGGGACTTGGACAAGAGCAGGCTGGCCATTGGATAGTTGTGCGAAGCGCAACTGGCATTTTAACAGACTTTGCCTGCGACTAGGATTTAGGATTCAGGGATCAGGGTTAGGGGTATCATGTTTGTTGTCCTTCGATGTTATGGTACTCCATTTTTTGCAAACCGCTTTTCTGCGAAGTTGAAGGCAAAACCTGTACCGTGCCTCCTGTTAGGTATGTTCCATGGCCAAAATTTTCCAGCAGGTTGAGGTACAGCTTCTTGCGCCGATGGCCACAACCCCTGACCCTCGCGGGAAGGATTGAGTTCACGTATCTGGTGGTTGCTAGAGGGCACCACATGCCAACGTCAACAAGTCCAGACGCATGTCGGATTTTGTTGTGATGTTGGACGATGCCGGATTTTTGCTTATGCCGCGCTTGCAAGACCACTGGCAGCACAAGAAGGAGCAAAGCAAGTGCACCAATTGTAGGCCGGACGCATAGTTGCCAATGATAGTGTGATCAGCAGTAATGCTGTAGAACTGTAGCGTTCATAGCGAGGTCTAACATGTTTGGACTTGGAACCATAAACACTAAAGGAGACAGCAAAACAGTGGCAAGAGGCAGCGAGTCATGGAAAGGCCGCGCGCTGCCACACTCATTGCTCTTTTGCCAACGTTTCAAGAATATGTACATATGTGTATATCAATGTATATCATATATATGTATTTATGGTACTACATAGGTATAAATTTTAGGGATAATGTAAAAAAGAACATTCAAAATATTATTTTTAGGGTTTAGGAATTAGGAACATTACCCTTCATAATGGAGAGTCAACTGGAAAATCAGTGGACAATGAGGGGTTATATAGTGGTTTTGGAAGATTAGGGCTTCAAGAAATTTGGTGGAACTCTTCAAGGGGGTTTAGAAAGTAGTTGGTTCGTGACTGTATGATTGAGGGTTTAGGGTTCAGGGTCTAAAACGGTACGAAACTCAAACTTTCAACACATATTGTCACATGCTACCCGAGCTTGCTAACCCACAGCTCGCTGCGCGGTTAATTCTAAGGTTAGAAGTATGGCCCCCTAAGATGGGCCCTAGGCTTTTTAGGGGAACTCTATGGACCCTAAAGGGTACGTATCAAGTATGTAGTAGGCATATCAGGATCCCAGGGTTAAGGGCCCATACTAGGGGCCCATGGTTTCAACCTTACATTCATGTTGTAGCCAGGGTGCTGTGTGCAAGAAAGATTCTGAGCCAGAGCTCAATGTGAGCATGAGCCAATTATTTGAAGGCAAAAGAGCAGATTCCAGGCATGACCACCGCGGCTTTGTACTTTGCAGTACAGCTCAAGATCAAGTTCGCCACAGTGTCGAAAACGCGCGCGCCATTGCAGACCTTAGTTCGATTTTCTGCAGCTGGAATTGGCAAGAAAGCCCGTATGATGCCTATGGCATATGAGCTATAGTCTAAACTCCTAGTATCCCCCTTAATAACCCCTTAGTAGTCCCCTATATAATCCCGATATAACCCCCCTTTAAGGAGTTTAGACTATAGCTCATATGGAAGGTTGTGTTTCTGCTCTCAATGATTCTGAATGTCAGCCCCAGGTTCTCGCATAGCCTTCAAAGGTTTTATCTTATGAGTTGTGATAGCGAAGGAAGACTAGCAACCTTGCATAATGTTGTGTTTTTCGCTTCACGCTAATATTGTAAGAGGGGATATATATACATATATACATGTAGGGGTAATATAGGGATAATGCAAAAGAAAATGGAAACTAATGCATTATAATCATTATAAATCTTGGGGTGTATATTGGCGTTATAGTAGGGCAGAAGTGAATTCTAGCTGTCCACGAGCGCTTGTGGCAGAGCCATGCCGCCATGGTGATTTGCCATGGAAAGGCGCGCATGCTTTGCACAAATCCGGTTGCTTCATCGCTTGGAGCTGAGACCACACTGACATGGGGTAAGTAACAGTAGTAATAAAAGGGAATATTGATAGTAACTGTTGTAGGAATAGTAATAATGTGGCACCCCTTTTAATGATGGGGGGTCCTCCCCCCCTGAACAATTACCATTCCTGATTAATGCGGCGGCCTCCCCTAAATTTGCCGCGCAATTAAAATCATATGGAACCCTAGAA